GGAAAGAAATTACCTCATACCAATAAATAATAGCTGGAAAACAGACTGGCTTGCTGAAAAACAAGCCTGCTGTAGAGCTGCTGTTGGTTTTGCTGTGTGAGCAGAGTCCTCTAGTGGAGGCATGCCGTAGTCCAGCAGAGATCACTGGCAAAGCTGCAAAACCTCCAAATGATACCTTAAGCCAACAGAAGCACTTTTCTGTTGGCATAACCGTGTCTCTGCCGGGCTTTTGCCAACAGCTGTGTCAAGTAAAGGTTGTGACTGTTCCACGCTCCTTGCCAAGGCTCTTGTGCCAGCAGACCTTTTAGTACAGACCAAATTCTACTCTCACTAAATAATTTAAATCCTGCGTTTGTGTGAGGGTCTGTGTGTGTACTACTTCAGGTATTCTTTACTCCTTCACATAGTACATTTGAGTGCTGTTCCATGACTGCCTTGCTTCCTGATGTGTGACGCCTGAATATCATGGGTTGCTGTTTTTCTGTTGCAGAACTGCGATGAGAGGTTTCAGTACAAGTACCAGCTGCGTTCCCACATGAGCATCCACATTGGGCACAAACAGTTCATGTGCCAGTGGTGTGGCAAAGACTTCAACATGAAACAGTACTTTGATGAGCACATGAAAACACACACTGGTAAGAACTTAGCACAGAAAAGCACAAGTATCTCCAGGACAAAAACTTTCCTATACTTCCAGCTGTGTTCCCTTCCTTGGAATTTGGGATCAAAACTGTTGTCCAACCTAGAAAATCAGACAGGAAAGGTTAATACCTTAACTTACTGTTAAATCTAACTGTCTGGAGTCCTGTGATTCACTGTGGGGGAAAATGAGAGGTTAGGCTTACTTCTTGTTGTTCTGGTCTGAAGGAACCCCTTGCCAAAGCTTTATAAAAGATTGTCTTGTGCATCAAAATCCAAAAGTGAGAGAGGATTTCATAAAGACTGAGGACTTCTGTGGAACAGCTGTTTCTTTATTTGCTGAAGGTACTAGTCACACTAGCTTTTGTAGGATGCAGTTGGTTTGCATAAGTATGCTGAAGTAATTATTAGCAGATGTTCTGTGCTTAACTGATTGCCGTATCTGTGTTCGGCAGGAGAGAAGCCCTTTATCTGTGAAATCTGTGGGAAGAGCTTCACCAGCCGCCCAAACATGAAGAGGCATCGCAGAACTCACACAGGGGAGAAGCCCTACCCATGTGATGTGTGTGGCCAGCGATTTCGCTTCTCCAACATGCTCAAGGCACACAAGGAGAAGTGTTTCCGTGTTACCAGCCCTGTCAATGTGTCAACTGCTGTCCAGATCCCACTGTCCACGACTTCTGCCACCACAGTCCCTGCTGTAGTGAACACACCCACCACCCCAACTCCACCTATCAACCTGAACCCAGTGAGCACACTTCCTCCACGCCCCATTCCCCACCCATATTCACACCTTCACTTACATCCTCATCCTCACCATCCACATCATCTCCCGGTCCCCCCAGTTCCTCATTTACCCCCTCCTCCAGCTCTTTTTAAGAGTGAGCCTTTAAATCACAGAGGCCAGAGTGAGGACAACTTTCTGCGACACCTGGCAGAAAAAAACAGTTCAGCACAGCACCACTAACATCTTTGCTTCCTGCCAGCTATTTTCCCATTTTATGCACATGGAAACATGCCCTCATGGAAGTACAGAGGGTTAGGTGGTGAGGATCTTTGTCTTTCTCTTATGGTCCAGCAGATGGTCCTAATTTTTCCTTTGAATCAGTTAACAAACAAGGAAATCCTGTTTTGGATCAGCAGTGCTCATTTGAACCTGGGAACCAACAGGACTCAAACCGAATTTGCTTGCGATTTACTGGTGACTTTTATAAATTTCAGATACTGAGACTTGTGGAATTTTATAATTTCATATCAGCTGATGAGGTATGCTTGCTTTTATATCCTGGACTTCTCCTCAAAGAGGAGATAGGCCTGGTTTTCTTTGTACTAATCGGAAAGGCTGTGAGATTAATACAGAGCATTAATTGTATCACTGTGTATCGTAATGGATTCTTTTCAGCTTTTGGTGCTGGCTATGGAGTGAGCCAGCCACGTATCACAGTATATTTGAGCATTATAAAGAAAGACAAAAAAATTTCTTGTTTGTGTAGCTCTCCTAACACACTCTTTATTTTACTACAGAAATTATTTTAGAGTTTTTTGTATAGACCTATTTAGTAGTCTGTTTCTAAAATGAAATGTATTTCAATAAGCGGTGTAATTTTTTCAGTGTAGCTGGACCTATGTTGTATAATAGATAAATTTTTATAATCATCAAAATGTGATTCTTAAAAGATGCATATAGCTTCTATAGTTAAAGTTATTCTTACAACCATACAACTTAAAAGGTGCTTCAGAGAAGAAAGAAACCCAAGAGGTCTCTGGAAAGGTTGCCTCAAAAGTGATGTTGATTTCAGAACTTTATGTAATTTATTTTAGTTTTTTTTTTTTTTTTAAGAAAAAAAACCTTACGTTTCCCTTTTCACAGTTTCTCGTAAGCTTTTTGGACAAGGATGTTGGGATAATGTATTCCTGCTCCACAGGTTTTCTTTAGTTCAATTGGAGTGAGGTATGAGATGGGTTAGAAAGGGAGCCCCTTGCACGTAGGGACCCGCTGGATTGGGAATGGAGAGTCACAAGAGAATGAGAGATCTGACAGCAGAGAGGAAATCAAGTATCTCAAGTCAGCCAAGCATCTTTTCTCTTTATGTAGGAGAGCTGGTTTTCATGGCTTTTCATGGTATGATTTTAAGTTGGGGATTGTATCAAATGCTGCTCTTCAGATTGCTTTTTGGAATTCCTGGAGTTGTTAGGAGAGGGGAATTAAGTGAGATCATAAATGTGGTGTTTCTGGCTGGTTGATTGTGAGAGTGAGAAGAGAAGTTTGAATGAGACAATGGTGTTTCAGTTGCATTGTTAAGAAAATGCTGATAGCACTGTATGTACCATGTGAAGCTCTATCCCATAAATGTAATGTGCATAAAATTATGGGATGATTTCTAGGGGTCGTAGTCATACTTTTGGCAAATCTAAGTTTTACCGTTGTAGGATAGGAAACTTTGAATTGTAGGCATGTCACTGTTTCATAATCCTGGGAGGCAATGAGGGGGAAATGACAAGTTAGTGCAGGGATGGTGGGCTGGAATGCCAAATGTATCTGTTTTAACCAGTGAGTAGCTGTTATTTTTTCAGGTTTGTATTTCTCTTCAACTAAAACTAAATATAGCAGCATTATGCAATCTAGGAACTCGTTGCCACCTTCAGTGAGGACAGAGGCCCAAGGCAATGTACTGTAAGTCCTCTTTTCCTTAAAATTCCTACTCTTCTGTGCTGCTTTTTAAATTAAATCCCACCAAACTATACATCCAGAGATCCTCATAGGCAGATGTCGAACTTACTATTCTGCTTGGTAATGAACTGGGGTTTTGTGGCTAATGGGATTAATTTTTTTTCAAGATAGCAGAAATGGTGGAAATTCTTCCCAGCATTACTTCCTCAAAGTTAATGCTGTTAAGCACTGTGTTTTGAAACACCATGTCCTCTGTCTGTTGCGAATTAGCTTCTTAGTTGATGTTTTTCACCATTTTCTACCACCTAATCATTAATGTTGGTTTTTTTCATAAGAAGCATAGGAAACTTTAGGAACCAGAAAGGGCAGTTTTGGCCCAACAAACCTACTCCTTTTTGACTGAGCTGAAACCCCTTCCAGCATTTCTGAAAAATAAAACAACGTTTTTTAAATGTTTTCTCTATAATATTTATATACACCCTCTTACCTTCTAGAAGAAAAAGCCAGTTATGAAAGTGAATTTACACTCATGGTTATGACTGTTGTATTTACTGTGGCTGGTCCGCCCCGGAGGTTCTATGCATTCCACGTCACATTTGCAACCTACATTTCTGTTGTGCCACTATTTTATGGTCAGGCCTGTTATTAAATGATTTTTAAATGCTAAAAAATTCATGGTAAATCAATTGTATTCCAGTTTTGCAAAATGATTTTCGTCTCAATAAATTTACAGTATTAGGCTGCTATTCAGAATTCTAAAATCTGGAACGGTTTTTTTCTATTATTTAGTTCATAGCAATGATACACCTTGTATTTTTTTCCTTCCGAGACTTATGAACTTCCTTTCTGTGGAAGAAGATTAAACTATCTAACCCGCTTAACATTCTGGCATAATGTGACATGATGTCAACAGATTTTCCTCATTATCTGGGACAAACATATTGAAAGCTGACATACTGGTCTAAAAGTGTTCCAATGTGATATCTTATAAAGTACATATTTCAGCAAGAAAAGGAAAATGGGTGTTACAAAAGGCAGGAAATTCAAGGTTGAGATTTGCTGTGACTTCTCACTTCTGCTTAAATTTGCATTGGCATGCACACCTTCTACAGAGTTTGTGCAACACTAAGGAATGTATTCAAGTGTGTTTACTACTTTCTGCTTATGTTGACAAACTAAGCATAATATTTTGTATCAGCTTTACTGTATTTACTAAGTTAAGGGATTGGTTTATATTGTTAAAATGCTTCCTTCAAGAAGAGCAAAAACAAATTATACCAACTTTGGGTTTGGTTTGAATGTTTCTGGAAAGTGGGAGTAAATTGTCCTTTTTTTTTTTTTTTTTTTTTTTTTTTAATTCTCTTTTGGGAAATTGGGGAAAATTGTGCTTTTTTTTTTTTTTTTTTTTTTTTTTTAATTCTCCCCAAAACATCCTACAGCCTAAGGCAAAGTTTTACTGAATTTTTAATTTTTTTAATATTGCATTTTTGAGGGGGGAAATTCAACAGAATTAACACACCATCGGGAGATCAGCATTCCAAGACGAGCAGTTTAAAGGACAGTATCTTTTCTGGAGTTTAAACTGCTAGTCCACCAGACAGTGCCTTATCCTTACTAAAGGCATTAGCTGTGTGAGCTTGTTTGTTCAGTGTATTATCTCAGACTAACTTATCTTTCTGGATAAAGGTGTGGCGATTATTTGTTTTGTATTGTCATGCCTGCCTGAATTATTGAGTCTCTTATTTACGCAACTCAGATACTTCTTAGATGGCCTAATTTGTATTGCTGCGCACATGAAAAGTTACTGTCACCCGCTTGTATTCCCAACCAAATCTTAAATTACGGACTTCGGAAAGAGTCCTTCAAGCTGAATTTAGGCTTTTATCACTGGGAAATTAGTTCATATCTCAACTGCAGTCCATCTGGATGTTTTTGTCTTTGCCCTCTTGTGTCTCTTGAGCATGTAATAGCTATTTTCAATTTATTGAAGAGAAGAAGGAGGTAGACCTCAGGGTATGCAGTTTAAAATACAGTGCTTCCCTTTACCAGTTTTAGTCAGTTTTAGCCAAGTAAGTGACAGACCAAGTTTACCTCTGAGCTGAAAAGATTAGTATTTTTCTGATATATTTAATTTGTTGCCTTTTTTTTTATATTATAGTGACCATCAGTGGGGTAAAGTATCATTTTGGGGGGAGTTTGAGAGAGATGCTGTTGTGCAGGGCTGTTTGTGTTCGTGCAAAGATAATGGTTTTGGTTTGATTATTACTTGCAGAGTACGTAGGTAATGTGCCTTTGAGAATATGATAAAACAATATGCAAACTGCAGTGAGGCACTCCAGAACACTAATAATGTCAAACTTTTTTCACTCTTGGGACTTGAGCTCAGGGTCATAAAATGTTTAAATGATTTATGGTTTCATATTTCTATTGACTAGCAGTATTTAAAAAAAAAAAAACCACAAACAAACATAATGTATAGCTCAACAAGACTTTTTTTACCCGCTAGTAAGGAACATTTCACCAAGTTTCTGGTTTTGGTGTTGGTTTTGGTCTTTAAACCGGGAGACATGGCTACCTGAGAGATGGAGATGAATTAAATAAATGCTTGCCCGTTTTCATGACAAAATGAACTGGCAGTTTTTCCAGCTTATTATGTACTACACTTTGATTAAGATATCGTAGAATCATAGAGTATCTCAAGTTGGAAGGGACCCATAAGGATCATCGTGTCCAACTCCTCACAGGACTACCTAAAACTAAACCATATGACTAAGAGCATCGTCCAGATGCTCCTTGAACTCTGACAGGCTTGGTGCCATGACCACTTCCCTGGGGAGCCTGTTCCAGTCTCAGTGAAGAACCTTTTCCTAATGTCCAGTGTGAGTGAATCTTAACGGAAAACATGACTTTATTCTTGTATCTTACCTGCTTCTGAACTTTGAGCTCTGCTGTTTTTCAGGAGTGACTATAAAAGTGTATCAAATCTCTGTCCTTACAGTCTGATGATGTTATTTTTTTCAACAGGCATAATTTTTTTTGTGTGGGTTTTTTTTGGTTGGTGTAATATGTACTGCTGAGTAGAGTTTGAGCTTGGATGTGATCTTCTGCATCCTGGTTAGAAAAGTGTAGAATGAAAGTATGTGTACTTGTTAGAACCAATAGCCACATGTCTTTAAAGGATGATATTTTTATGTTAAAGACAGTGAGACTGGCAGTACATATTCTACTGAGTAATTATAGATAACCTTATCATGCACTATTTTAACAATTTGGAATTGCCATTTGACTTTTCAGAAATTAACATCATTAGCTATAACCTTACCAGTTCGGAACTGATAAATACCATACCTCTCTAGACTATATAGTAAATCTTCAAGTATTTCAAAAGTAGAAGAAAGGTACATTGAAAATTAATGACTGTAAGATGGTTTCACTCTTTTACAGTTTAAATTTGAAAGCAGGAGTGTCACTGTGCAAGTTTTGATATGGGCATTAAGATTTAAACAGTCTTTCATAGCACATCACTTGCCAGCTTCCATCAAATTAACTTGCCTTGTACCATAATAGTTATTTTACTTGTATCTTGAAAACATTTTTGTACTGCTTCACCATTTGTTTTCTTTTGTAGAATGCTCTTTCCTATCAATTCACAGGGAGCGTTCTCTTCAAATGGTGCGGGTGGGGAAGAAGGAACAGTAATTTTCCCAGGGCTCGTGTGCATGTGAATGAAACTTGGTAATTTTTTGTGGAGATTTAAGGGTGTTCAAAACTGGAATTAAACTCAAATTAGTAACTTTCACTGTTTTAGCAGACAGAAGGCAGTTGTTGAAGTAATCTGGCACTAGTAAGTGGTATTGTCTTGCTGGCCTTGAAAGGTATAAATTAATTAATTCTTATATTTTTATTTTAGCACATTGATCGTGCTAAAAATAAATTGCATAATATATTGTACATATATTGGAGACATGGCAGAAGAATTAAAATCCACCCTTAAAGAGAGAGGAGTTCAAAAGAAAGGCAAGCATTTGCATTTCCTATAGACACTAGGAAAAAAGTCTACCTTAGGGTTCACAGATGTCCTTAATAAAGATTTTTATGCTGGCAGCAACAAGGTAATTTTGCAGGTTTCAAGCTTCTAATATAAT